GTGGGGGGGGGGGATTGTTTCAGTGTTCGCTCACGGATTAAAGCAGGCCAAGGCCCCAGAGGAGCTCAGGTTCACGTGGCCTATTTCAAGAGATTATTCCTGCATGGACAAAACCTTCTCTTTCTTTCACATATGTTTTCCTTTGTCGCAACATCAGTATGGCTTCTGCTATGCTCTTTCTTTTCTTCTTTTCTCTGTCTCAGAAAGAGTCAAGTGAGCCCCACTGCTCAGCTTGCTACTGTTGCAGGGTCACCTTAACGTGATGCAGATTGATCTCGAAAGCGGGTTGTCTTTGTTGCTTGCGGTTCCGGGCAAGGCGGCTTTCCCTTGATTTCAAGCAGCGCCGTCTTGATGCTCCCGCTGTTTACGTTCCTTTTGTTGTCTCGCACACCTCATTAGCTGCTCCGCGTGAAAGTCAGTCATTTGTCCATTAATTTTCATCCCGAAAAAGGTCCTGCTTGATTATTTGATTACCGAGGTGGAGCGCGTGGTTGAGACAGCAGGTGAGTAAATAAGACATTGAAGGTCTGCATGTTATAACAGGGCCCTCTATGTTGCTATCTGTTGCTATCCTGGCTGCCTGCCTGCAGCTTCTCACACAGGAGTCGTCACAGGCGCAATCTATGCAAGCGTGGAAACAAACAGAGGAAGGAATATGGGCAGGCTTTAGATTGGGAGGCCAGTTTGTTGAGTAGGCCCTGATGTTCTCGCCACTCCCCAAGTGTGCATTCAGGCATCTAAAGGCGTGGCGTTTTCAGAACGCTTTCACTTTCAAACGCCTCGCTTTAGTTTTTTTCGGTCCACGCTAACACTGCTTCCTCCCAGGAATATCAACTTTGTCAACTAACCCGTCAGCATGGCTGTCGTTGGGGGGATCAAGTGCATCAAGTATCTCATGTTTATATTCAACTTGTTCTTCTGGGTAGGTGTACTTCATTTTTTTCCTGTTGTCTGTGACTCTGGATGAGTTTAAGCGGGAGTTAGACATAAAGAGGGGGCGTGGGTTCTTCAACGTTCCCATCTTTGTGTGTCAAAATGAAGAAGAAGCATACGGGACAGATCAGCGTGATTCCATTTATGGCATGTACTCACTGTCAGTGAATGTTATGTTCGACAGTCATGTTCAAGCATGTGAGCTCAAAACAAAATGGCTTCGTACATAGATGACTATCCACAGGAGGAATTGCGGCGAAACCGCACACACACACATCTGTTATATTAGGTATGCCAACACAACTAAACGCCAATACAAGAAGTTGATTAAATGCCTCATCAAAAAACAACAATGCTTTGTTTTGAATGACACTGTCCGTCATGGAGGTATGTTTATTTTTGAAGTTGTAGTTTGCAGTGGTGTAACACAACACATTTTCTGATGCGATTCCCAACCACGATCGTCAGGTGTGCTGCGGCAAACTGTCAAATTGCACTTCATTTCTTCAAAAAGTTGGATTTGTTCACAACTTGCAAATAAAGCACGGTATCTTTACAGAGGCCAGCATATACGGTTTCAGTGACAGGTAGAACACGTAAATAATCTTCCATTAAATGGCAGAAGGTATCATTAAATAGCTTTGACTCAGTTCCACAAAACATCCAGATTTCGCAATATTGGTAAATTTATGAGTAAATTGAAAAGCATTTTTTTCCAGCATATTCCCAGATTGGCAATCACAAATTCACCAATGGACATTTTTTTGGGGGGGGGGACTGTCCTCCGTTAATCACTGAATCGCTGAAAACCCCCATTTGCTGTGTCTGTGCTCAGTCATAGCTATCAAGGCATTACTTTGGAATTGTCTTCATGCCAAGGCAATATGTTGAAGTAAGTTGTTTAATTTAGACTCAAGTAGAGCACCTTGTGTGCCAAGAACTATGTTGATGAGACTTGAGGAGTTCCATTTCCAGAAAAGTAGCTGTCATCTTGTCGCATCTCTTGGCAATTATAAAGCTCTTTAAGGTTTTTTTTTTGCTGTTGGCGTCTCCATATGCAGTAATTTGAGGGGGGGGGGGGGGGGTTGTTTCAGTGTTCGCTCACGGATTAAAGCAGGCCAAGGCCCCAGAGGAGCTCAGGTTCACGTGGCCTATTTCAAGAGATTATTCCTGCATGGACAAAACCTTCTCTTTCTTTCACATATGTTTTCCTTTGTCGCAACATCAGTATGGCTTCTGCTATGCTCTTTCTTTTCTTGGGGGGGGGGGTTGTTTCAGTGTTCGCTCACGGATTAAAGCAGGCCAAGGCCCCAGAGGAGCTCAGGTTCACGTGGCCTATTTCAAGAGATTATTCCTGCATGGACAAAACCTTCTCTTTCTTTCACATATGTTTTCCTTTGTCGCAACATCAGTATGGCTTCTGCTATGCTCTTTCTTTTCTTCTTTTCTCTGTCTCAGAAAGAGTCAAGTGAGCCCCACTGCTCAGCTTGCTACTGTTGCAGGGTCACCTTAACGTGATGCAGATTGATCTCGAAAGCGGGTTGTCTTTGTTGCTTGCGGTTCCGGGCAAGGCGGCTTTCCCTTGATTTCAAGCAACGCCGTCTTGATGCTCCCGCTGTTTACGTTCCTTTTGTTGTCTCGCACACCTCATTAGCTGCTCCGCGTGAAAGTCAGTCATTTGTCCATTAATTTTCATCCCGAAAAAGGTGTTCAAAAAGAATGCAATTGAAATAGTCACCGGGACTCTTTTATTGCTTTCAAATGCATTAAAGTATCACATAAATGTGTTTACTGCATCGAGGCTTTTTGACTTTGTCCGCAACCTCTATTTAAACCACATTAAAAAAGAAAGCAATTTCTTTAAATTATTAAATACTCTGGTGAAAACTTTAACCTCTGTGTTGTTTGGGTCTGTTTCGACCCCATTATAATATCAGCTTATGAAACAATATTTAGCTCCAAAACTGAAATCTTTGCCATTGTTAAATATTAAATCCAGCTTCTTTCTTTCGAAAGCAAAGGCTCTCCTTTCTCAAGAG